CCCCCACCCCCACCCCCAGATGTCTATGGCCTTTCCCTCTTTGAATCTGCCATGCCTGAATCCCTAAACTCGAGTAAGAATCCAGCTTTCCAAACTGCCAATCTGGGCTCTTCCATGCCACCACGCCCATTTTGAGGCTGACTTCTGCCAAACGTGGGTGGGAGGCTCGGGTCAGAATCTGTTCCACACAGAAATCACAGAAGCTGCAGAGAGGCCCCTCACTAGAAACAGTCTTACGCAGCACTTAAGGGACCTAGACGCCACCAGGGTAGGGCTAAGGGGAGCCTCTTACTAGCAGCACGGTTGGCTACTCCTCTTTGGGTGAACCCTAGCCCAAACTGCATCCGCCCGTAACCAGTGAGCGCTCGGATTACAAGACTGCGGTGCCCACTCCTTCTCAGCCAGTCTCATACCTACCACAGGGTCAGCGGCTCCGCCTACTACCTCCCTGGCGAACGCTTGGCAGTCATTCAGGCCGCTGCTGGGCCAGAACCCGCCCCGCACGTTTAAGGCTGACCGTCCCACAGTAGTGCCTCAAACACCTGAGCTAGAAGGCTAGCGGGCATGTGCTTCCGGTGGGCGCCAACCAATGGCAAGCCAGGCTCCATCCGCACTGCTGATTGGCTCCCATATCCCGCAAGGTGGCAACTCTCGCAGGAGTTTAAACACTGGTACATGCTGTGCCGTTACTGACTGAATCAAAGTGGGACAAGAGTGAACGTTCCTTAAGCACAGATATGCCAAGCCCATTTTTTTGTTTAACTTTTGCCTAATCGAAGAGCTAAATTATCTATGTATATTGACAATGTGTCCCAGTTCTTGTTTGAAATAGGAACTCAATGTTTTATGAATGGTCCATTAGCATTTGATTGCAGGAATCCTATCGCGTCAACAAAAGAATAAAACAAGTGCTTACTATGGGCAAAGCACTGTGCCAAGCACCTTGGACAAAAACTGAACTGCAGCTCCAATTTTCTGAGTTACAATTCAACTGGGAGAAGATTTAAATACATTAAAAGTTAAATCATTATAGGGGCACCTGGATGGCTCAGTCGGTTAAGCCTCCAACTTCCATTCAGGTCACAATCTGCCAGTTGGTGGATATGAGCCCCACATTGGGCTCTGTGGTTACAGTTCAGAGCCTGGAGCCTGCCTGGGATACTGTGTCTCCCTCTCTCTCTGTCCCTCTCTGCTTGCACTCTTTCTCTCTCTCAAAAATAAATAAACATTAAAAAAATATTTTAAGTTAAATAAATGAGCTACATTTTAAAAAATACAATAATGTAAGAACTGACAGCAAGGTTGCAAGTTCTTTGCTAATTGCCAAAAATGCGGAACAAAGTATGAATAGAAACAGAGAGAATGAGAAATGAAGGGGCCAGGAAGGGAAATATGGAAGGAAGGACTGAAAAAGCTACAAGATGACGAGGGTATTGAAGGCAGAAAGGTGTGAAAGTGAAAATTGTATTTACGAAAATGTGAGAAGGGAAAGTAGCTTACCTGTGGTTATGCAATTACGTCTGTGAGACATGAGTGGTAAGGAGACAGAGAAATAGGAATATTAAAATAATTTTTAAATTGTTCAACAATAAAAATACTTGTAATAGTGAAAATTCTGTGTATTAGATAAGTGGGAGGTTTACCCACAGTCTTATTCTTCAGAACTCTGTACAATACACCTTTCTGCCATGATTAAAGTGTTCTGGGGGCGCCTGGGTGGCGTAGTCGGTTAAGCGTCCGGCTTCAGCCAGGTCACGATCTCGCGGTCCGGTCCGTGAGTTCGAGCCCCGCGTCAGGCTCTGGGCTGATGGCTCAGAGCCTGGAGCCTGTTTCCGATTCTATGTCTCCCTCTCTCTGCCCCTCCCCTGTTCATGCTCTGTCTCTCTCTGTCCCAAAAATAAATAAACGTTGAAAAAAAAAAAAAAAAAAAAAGTGTTCTGTGTGGGCACCGTCCACTAGCCACAAGCAGCTTTGAGCACTTCAAGTATGGCTAATGCAACTGAGTAACTGACTTTTTATTATTTTAATTATAGTTAATTTAATTAACTCAATGGATTTTTATTTTAATTTAAATAGTTGCAATTACCAGATGGTTGAATGAAACTATTCTAAGTGGTACCTATGAGTCTGTTCTACAATCAACATATTTAAAAGATGTAGGTCATCAAGTTGAATGAAAAGGACCAGGTCTACAGCAGGGCAGGAGGGAATATCAGGTGTTACATATTATTCTAAAACTCAAACAAAGACACACAAACTCAAGAAAAAGAAGGAGTATACCATTTCTCAAGTACCTACCACATACAGGCTAGGTGCATGAATACACTATCAGTAGCCAGTAGCCTTACAGCTGGGAAAAATGGAGACTCTGGACCTTTATCACCAATAAATATCAGTGATAAAACCTATTTAAAAATTTCAAATAAGGCAAAACATTTTTACTTATATAATGTATGAAGACTAATATTGATAATCAGTAAATATTGTAATTATATCACAGTTTTAGAAATTTTGGAAAACAACGACAAGAATTTACTATTTTCTCCTTGCATTTCAAAAGTAAATTACAATATCATCTCTTGTTTTTTAAAAAAAGAAATTTATAAGAATTTTGGAAGAAAAACTTAGGGGAAAACTGGATTTCATGTGAGATAAACATAAATGTTTATCATTCTAATAATTGTGCATTAAAGGTTACATGTTTTAAAGCCTTGAAAATTTAAAAATTTTTTAATGTTTATTTTTTGAGAGAGAGAGACTGAGTGTGAGCCAGGGAGGGGCAGAAAGACAGGGAGACACAGAATCTGAAGCAGGCTCCAGGCTCCGTACTGTCAGCACAGAGCCCAATACCAGGTTAGAACCCACAAACCATGAGATCATGACCTGAGCCAAAGTCAAATGCTTAACCAACTGAGTCACCCAGGTGCCCCTAAAGACTTGAAAAATTTAATCTGCAAATGCACAGCACATCTTTTCTCTAATATTATACCCATTAATATCATTCTTTCAAACCTCAGAATTTTAGTTGTTTTAGCTACATGTGACTCATGTTCAAATATGATTTTATATGACTTGAAATACGGCAAAACTGTTATTGTTGAGTGATAAAAAACATCTACGGTTGGTTGTGGTGATGGTTGCACAATGCTGTGAACATACTAAGAACCATTTAATTGAACATTTTAAATGGGTGAATTGTATGATGTATGAATTATATCTCAAGGAGGCTGCTTAAAATGATAAGACATAAAGAAACTAAATTTCAGGACACCTGGCTGGCTTGTTCAGAAGTGCATGTGACCCTTGATTTAGCCCCATGCTGGGGTTTGAGCCCCATGCTGGGTGCAGAGATTACTAAAAAAAATCAAACTTAAATTAAAAAAAATAAAGAAAGTAAATTTCTTATTTTGCTTACATATGTGGTATTTCATTTGATTGAGTGATAAAGAAATTTTGCTTTCTTAGCATTTCCCAATATTTCTGTTCCTGGTTTTGTTTTATGCAATCTTTTATCTCTTCTTTAAGAAAAAAATGAACTACTCTAATTATCAGCTTCAAATTTTCAGTATATCAATCAGTAATTTGTATTACAAATTACTCTGTTATTTGTATTACAAAGAATAAAAATTGCCCAGTCAATGCAGTTCAAAAAAATTATACATTTTCCACTAGATGGCACTGGTGTGCAAATAGCGTTGCTAGAATCTGCAGATTCATCTATTATTATTACTACATTGTTTTCATTCACTTTGATTGGTCTGGGTAAGATAAAGAGACGTGGAAAGTTAAAACAAGAGACTTCCTTTGCTTACTAAGCTCCTGGGTAAACAAAGTCCCCATTTTAAAGATACAAGATGTAACACAAGGAGAAATTGTCATAATCTTGTGCTAAAGCTAGAGTAAGAACCCACAATCCCTGACTCTTAATTGCTATCATACAAGTATACAATATCAAGAGTGGGGAAGTGGAAACGCTAGTCAAAAGGAACAAAAAACTTTATTATCTCATTTTATCCCTAACTATAAAATCCTAACTATACAAGACCAATCTGTAAACTTCATAAAGGAAGAAGAGTGATCATTTTGTTTAATATTATATCACTTGAGTATAGCACAGTGCCCAACACATAGTAGACAGTCAAAAAACATTCGGTGTTTAAATAAATGGATAAATTAATTAAGGTTAACAACAACCCCATGTAGTAGGTAATATTATTTCTACTTGCAATTGAGGAACTGAAGTTGGAAATATGAAGTAACTCATATTCACAATTCAGTGGCAAAAGCATTTTGCATTCTTGAACATTCAAAGAGGTCTGCTCCTGGACCACCTCTGGTTCATTCTTTTTACTTCATTCCAACTCCACTACGAAATCCTGATCTTGTTTCCGAATTTCTTCTAGCTTTCCGATGACCTCTTGTCAAGTCCCTTCAACAAGAAGTCTTAGAAGTCAGTATGCATTCCCACTTTGTTTGCCATTAAGACTTTTCCTAGTGCTACAGTTGAACAGTCCACCTTTTCAGCCCTCAAATCCCCAAGGTTTGTGGGAGTCGAGCAGATCAGCAGATAGATTCTGGTTTGGGCTGTGTTATTTGTATCTCTATAGTCTCTGGCATTCCAAGGGCCTCAATTTCCTCATCTCAATTTTCTCAACAAATGAGGCTGGAATTGGATGATCTCAAAGGTTCTTTTTAGCTCTGAGACTATATGGTTTTTAACTTTATCCTAGAGTGGTCCTCTATTGAGTTTATGACTAAGATGGCAAGTTTTAGAGGAAGAATGCTTGGGCTCTAGGGTTGGGAAGGCTGTGCGCCAGACGGGCCTGTTCTGGCCACAGAGAATGAGGATTGCACACCCGGCGTTTGTTTCAGCGGACTGCTAGACTGACTGGGTCGGCCTACCCCACCCCGAGCCGCTAGGGGGCGCTGGAGGCCGTTCCCCGGAAGCTGGCACTCTGCGCGGCCGCACAGCGCCCGGCGCGAGACCCTTGCGTCTTCCGGAAGCGGAGCCCTGGACGCGCAACGGCTGGGTGTGCGACCACGGTGGTGGCTGGCGCGCCTGAGAAGACAAGAACTGAAGGGGACCTGGGCCTGCCTCCCGCGCCGGGCTGGAACACCATGGACGAAGCAGGCAGCTGTGCGAGCGGCGGAGGGTTCCGCCCGGGCGTGGATAGCCTGGACGAGCCCCCCAACAGCCGCATCTTCCTGGTGATCAGCAAGTACACGCCCGAGTCGGTGCTGAGGGAGCGCTTCTCGCCCTTCGGCGAGATCCAGGACATCTGGGTGGTGCGGGACAAGCACACCAAGGAGTCCAAGGGCATCGCCTTCGTCAAGTTTGCCCGTAGCTCGCAGGCCTGCAGGGCCATGGAGGAGATGCACGGCCAGTGCCTCAGCCCCAACGACACCAAGCCCATCAAGGTGCAGGTGCCCGGGTTGGGATGCCCGCGGGAGCGGGAGGGGATGGGCCTTCCTGCACCCGAAGCTGTGTCAGGTGGGGTCGAGGTAGTACATCCGCTCCCTGGAGCGGAGTGGGCGGCGCCTGGCATTCCGGGGGCGGGAGGAGGGGCGGGAGGAGGGGCGGATGGTGTTCCGCACAGGGTTTCTCGGGCCGCCCGGCCCGCGAGGCAGCCCAGAGGTGCGGCAAGAATATCGGCCCCGACTTGGGCCGCGGAGCTATAGTGACTGAGCCTCTCCCCTACTCCCGCCATCTCTAGTCCAGAGCTCTGGCTTCCACGACCCACCTCTGGCCCTCCTCTCTCATAACCCCGTTTACCATGTATGAAAATAGATTAGTTTGCTTTTCCTCAGGGTGGTACGGAGCTTAGCAACTTGATAAACATACGTTAAGTGTGGCCTCTCTGGTGTTGGGCGCTTTCCCAGTGCCACACGAAAGTATGCATGTATATAATATTTGAGTGGAGGTGACTCAGACTGCTGCTGTTGTAGATTTGTCACACCGTTGTGATTTTTTAAAATCATTTTAATTAAGCCCTCTTTGCGAAACTATAATTGGCAAACGTTTTGTTACTGCCACTTTTCTTTGAAAGCAACCCAAAATAAACTGCCTTAAGAAGAGCCAAATCATTGTGATGGTAGTGTAGTTGTGCTATTATTGTTTCTTTGCGTACTCATAGTTCACCCTGGAGGTCTTTATATTGAGTTTCCAGACTTGTGTAAAAGTAACAAAACTGACACGTGGCAGGAAGGGTGATTTTGACGGTTATTCGTTTTAACCTATGCTTTTAGCACAGTGCTCGTCACATGGTAGACCCCGCGCATAGATCTTGGTGGTCATTAGTAGCCAAAATGTCCTTCCTTACTGGCTGTGGACTGTGTTCAGGACCCAGTCCTGAGGACCTGACAGTTGCTTAAACTGTACCCCCGCCCGTCGTGTAGAAATAGTTGCTGTATATGTAACTCTGTTGGAGCCTTCCACAAAATTCTTTTCCCTCAACTTTTTCCTTCTTGTTTTCTTCCACTTACAACAGAGAACTGATAAGAATACTACTAATACTGACTTTTATAAATGAAAGACGGAGAGAGAGTTCAGTCTCTGGAGGTCTTCCCTATGCCTCCATCCACAAAAGAGAAGGAACATAGGAATATACCAACAACACAGTAGACCATAGACATGCCCTTTACTTCCATCCCCAACCTTCTGAAATGGAGCAGAACAGATCATCAATAAGATGAATTGTAAGGCCACGGCATATACTAGATCAATGGCTGACAAACTTTTTCTGTAAAAGGACAAATAGTAAATATTTTAGGCTTTGTGAACCACATACTGTCTCTGTCACATATTTTCTTTCTTTTTTTTTTTTTTTTTTTAAATTTTTTTAATGTTTATTTATTTTTGAGACAGAGACAGAGCATGAACGGGGGAGGGTCAGAGAGAGGGAGACACAGAATCTGAAACAGGCTCCAGGCTCTGAGCTATCAGCACAGAGCCCGACGCGGGGCTCGAACTCACGGACCGCGAGATCATGACCTGAGCCGAGGTCGGCCGCCTAACCGACTGAGCCACCCAGGCACCCCTTTCTTTCTTTTTAACAGCCCTTTAAAAATGTAAAAACAATTCCTAGATCATGGGCTATTGAAAAAGAGTAAGCTGTGGTTTGTTGATTCCCTAGATTGATTTAATTTTTATCTCCTTCCAATTAAATTAACAGAGAAGGTTTTTATACTTTCTGAATATAACCACAGAGATCTGTTGGTAACCCAAAGAAATGCTCCAGATCTGAAACCTATAGAATCCCCTTTCCTTGATTAAATTCCTACAAGAGAAGTAAAAGCCCCAATACTGGGACCCTCCTTTTTAATCACAGAAAAGTTATTCCCCAAAATAAAGTTGAAGTTCTGTTTTTCACATTTTGGTTCACTCAGTTTCAGACAGAGGATTGTTAGACTACAAGGCCTAGCTAGACCAAGTTCATTCTTCAGCAGGTTCAGCTCTGTCTGTCTTCCACTAGAATGTGGTTTTTTGTTTGTTTGTTGTTACTGTGGTTATTGTTTTTAGTATTTCCAGTTAAATTAACACAGCTTCAACTTTTCTCATGTAGTTTGCTTTCGCAAAGTTCCGTAGTATCTATGAGACAAATAAGAAAATTATAGGCCTAGAGCCAGAAAAGATTGACTAGGTAAGAATTATTTTGTGACCAGCTACATTACCTGGAGGAAAGGGGTAAACCTAAAATGTAGAAAAGTCTTGTTTTCTAGCTTTTCAAGAATGCCTCTTTAGAGCCTGTAGTCTGAACATAAATCTCAGGAGAAATCATCCATTAGGTGGCTAATTATTATACATGTGTTCTGCTCAGACACTGCTTGCCTTATTGGAAATTTGAAACACTCCGGTCTTCTAAAATTTAGAAATTTGTGATTTGATGACACCTACAACCTCAAATCTTACTTGAGATTCTTTTTGCCCCCCAGTGTCTTCCCATATTCTTAAATGTTTCCTATTTTATTTTTCTATTGATCATCCATTACCGATACATAGACTTTCTAGTGGGTCATTTCTGTATTACTCAATATTCTATTACTAATACCTCATACATTGTTTGGCAGGTAGTGTAAGTTTATTGAAGGAGTAACAGTGGACTCTGTTAGGAGACATAGGAATATGTCTCCAGCTATATCTTGTAAACAAGGCCCTACACCTCTATGACAGCTGTTTTCCAAGCGAACATAATGACTTTATGTTTTACTACTTCTAAAATCCCCTGGCTTTATAGGTTTTCTATCCTTTTGGTTGCTGCCTCCTACTCTAGAAATCCATAAGTTCAGGTTTTCTCATACTCAAATGGTATACAGCTCCCCCTTTAAAGTAGAAGAAAAAAGAAGCCTTAAGGGCTTGTGGTGATTTATATTAATTTTATTACATGTCTTCAAATTATAAAAAACAAACCTAGCCATTAAAGTTCTTATCCTTATGGCTCTATAAAAAAATCCACAATCCTAGTTAGAGATTTTAAGATTCCTCTAGAACAATATAAAACCAAAACAATTTATATTATAAAGTAATAATCTAATGTCATAATCCAAGTAATGATAATCTAAGTAGTCCAATGTCACAGATGATGTTTTCAGTAAAACTAAATAGTAGAAAATGCTAACAGTAGAAAATGGAGCCTCAGGTAGTGCTATGCATTTTCTTACATAAATCATTTGGGTGGTCACTGAGACAATCCAGTAATTATGGTTGTGTTACCTTTTCTTAAAGGTACATATTAGAAAGAAAACAATTAAAAATATGACATCCTAGACTTAAACCCAACTGTGTCAATATTACATTAAATATTAGTAGGCTAGACATGCCAATTAAAAGGCAGAGATTATCAGGATTTGTAAAAAAAAAAAAAGCTAAATACTATGTACAAGGGATACAAAGCAGTTGAAAGTAAAAGGATAAGAAAAGCTGGTGTGATGTTGTACAAAATGGTCATCAACACAAGGAGTATTAACAGATAGGGTAATTTCATAGGAATAAAAATATCAATCAAAAAGTACATAACAATCCCAAATGTTTATGCAGCCAATAATACAGCTTCAAAATACGTGAAGCATGATTGGTAGAACCTGAAGGAGAAAGATAAATTCACAATCAGGTATTTAAACTCCTTTCTTAGTATCTGATAGAACAACTAGACAAAATTTGCAAAGATAAGGAATATTTTAATAACACCGTTAATCAGCCATGAAACTGACATCTATTGAACGCTGTACCCAGCAGCTGCAGAGTACTTATTCTTTTTCAGTGCACTGGCTTGCCCTTGGTAAACAAAAATGCAAAAGTAAAAATGTATTTGGGGGGGCGCCTGGGTGGCCCAGTGGTTAAGCGTCTGACTTCGGCTCAGGTCATGATCTCGCGGTTTGTGGGTTCAAGCCCTGCATCAGGCTCTGTGCTGACAGCTCAGAGCCTGGAGCCTGCTTTGGATTCTGTGTCTCCCTCTCTCTCTGCCCCTCCCCTGCTCACACTCTGTCTCTGTCTCTCTCAAAAATAAACATTAAAAAAAATATCTATATACCTATATAGATATAGGTATAGATTTGGAAAAACAGTGCAGAGATTGTTATTATCTCATATAAAAAGTCATTGTAGTAAAAATTGCTTTAAAAAAACTTTTTGATAAGACCCTATTACATTGTGTTTAACCTAACATGCATCTCATACTAATAATGAAGTAAATGTACTTAAGGAATAGGAAAACAGTTAACTGATTTTTCACATTATTTTTGGATTATGTTTGTTGCTTAGGTTTTCATTGCTCAGTCCAGATCATCTGGAAGCCACCGAGATGTTGAAGATGAAGAACTTACAAGAATATTTGTCATGATACCAAAGTCCTACACAGAAGAAGATTTGCGGGAAAAATTTAAGGTACTTATGTTTTTTAATCAGCCAGCATCTATGATAATTTACAATCCTAAATCGGTTGTATGGTTACTAAATCTTGTTCGAGTTAGATCGTTAGGTTGGTGGTGGTGGTGAATTAAATAATTGTTTCTAAGTCATCTATTTCAATCTAGTTTTAAAATAGTAAACCTAGAATAAACTAACTTTTTAAAAAACATGAAAATGATGAAAAACATATTAATGATGATGTTTTCTGCCATGTAAGAAACATAATGATGATATTTTCTGCCAGATTCAGGAAAATGAAGTCTAAAGCCCAGAATTTTAAATTAGGTCACATACATAGTAGGTGGTGGACCAAGATTTAAACCCAGGCTGCCTGAATCCAGAACCTGCTCTTGGTCTTTACAATTTCAAAGCACCCTCTTACCACTCTGTTGCTTTCATGTAGAGGTAAATGAAGCAAGCCTAAGTGTGTGAACTATATTATCTATTTATATACAAAGCCTATGGCATGTTGATCTTGTACTTATTCACAGAAAGGCTCATCCTTTACAGAATTTTTGTTCTAAAGTTAAGGACTTATATTTAAAGAAAAAATCTACAGCTCTGAACTATATATATAGCAAGAGCTATGGTAATGACTGATAGTGAAATTTGAAGATCATTTTAAATCTCTTTATAGACAATGACTTTTATATGCAATGATATACTTTCACTAAAAATTACTAAAAAGCAATTCTCAAATTGTTATGAGTTGTAACTTTTTATCCATTATCTACTAATTTTCCCAATACTATGAATTAGGTGGGCAACAAATAAGAAAGAAAATAGTCAAAAGTAATTTTCAGACTTTCTCTCTCTGAAAATTCAATTGAGAATTGAATAAAATACCTCAAAAATTGGGGCGCCTGGGTGGCGCAGTCGGTTAAGCGTCCGACTTCAGCCAGGTCACGATCTCGCGGTCCGTGAGTTCGAGCCCCGCGTCGGGCTCTGGGCTGATGGCTCAGAGCCTGGAGCCTGTTTCCGATTCTGTGTCTCCCTCTCTCTCTGCCCCTCCCCCGTTCATGCTCTGTCTCTCTCTGTCCCAAAAATAAATAAACGTTGAAAAAAAAAAAATTTTTAAAAAAATACCTCAAAAATAACAAATACCAAAAATACATAGTCCATACTTCCTCCAAAAGTAAGAAAAAAGTTGTTACCTTATATATTTATAAATTCTTATCTTTTTCTGAGCAAACAAATATGACATTTTTATCCAAATGTACAATAATTAAGTTGCTAATTGGGTGCATGAGAATTTTATGAAATAAATAATAAACGGGGCACCTGAGTGGCTCAGTTGCTTAAGCATCCTGCTCTTGATTTAGCCTCAGGTCATGATCTCATGGTTGGTGGTATTCAAACCCTGCCTGGGGCTCTCTGCTGACAGTGCAGAGCCTGTTTAGGATTGAAATTGTCTCTGCCCCTCCCCTGCTCATGTACTTTCTTTCTCTCTCAATAACTATTAAAACAAAATAAGCCCTAAGAATTTATATCCCATATTTCTCCCAACATTAAAAATAAACTTTTACCCATATTTTTCATGTGGAGAATTGACTGAGTAAACCTGTGTGTTTTAGTTATATATTTTGTGAGGCTTCTCTTCAAAAGAATACACAGTTATGTTCTGTTAGAAGGCAGACGACTATAACTATAACTAATGTTTAGTGTGTCCCAAACTCTATATAAGCACTTTAGGTGTATTAGTTCATTTAACTCTTAAAATAACCCTATGAAGTAGGTATAGCTATTAGCCCCATTTAACAGATAAGGAGACAGGCTCAGAGAGGATAAATAAACTGCCCAGTTAATAAGGGACTGAGCCAGGTTCGAATATGGAAGGTTCGATTCCAGCTTGTAATCACCACTAAGACTTTGGAGCTTTCCAAACCATGTACACATTCTTACTCTCCCTCCATGACTTAGACAAGTTATTTGATTTCCTCTCTAAGACCCAGTTTCCTTGTCTGTGAAATAACTTATATATTATACACACACACACACACACACACACACACACACACACACACACCTTGAAGGATTGTTTTAACAGTAAGGAAATATATGTAAAGCAAATGCTCAGAAAATGAAAATCATCATGATTTTGATTATGTTATTTGCTTATATCATTATTATGGTTTTTTTCTAGTGCCTCATTAGTTTGTGACATTTTGATTCGATTATTAAAAATGGCTATATATTCTAATTCTTATTTCTAGTTTTGCAAATAAAGGGTGAAAATAAACAAATTTTAAGTTGTGAAATAATCTGTTCACAGTTACTGATTTTGACTCCTCTAAGATCGTTTCTTTTAACTCTCATAGGTGTATGGAGATATTGAATACTGCAGCATTATTAAGAATAAAGTAACTGGAGAAAGTAAAGGTTTGGGCTATGTTCGATACTTAAAACCATCACAGGCTGCCCAAGCGATAGAAAACTGTGATCGAAGTAAGGATGTGTTCATTTAACATGTTGAAGACTTTCTTAAAACTTTTAATTATTCTAAATAATGGAATCTAATACTGGTTTTTGCTAATAACCATACCTGCTAATTTAATCTTAGCAATGGGAGTTTAAATATATATATACCTGGGATGAAAAGTATTTGAGGGCTGTGATTAAGCTTTTGTTGAGGCGCCATCTTGAAGAAAAATATGGGCAACTACATTAACTTAATAATTGAAAATACTGTTACCATATTTTGGTTATTACTTCTAAGGTTTGGGGGTTTATTTTAATATTTAAAATTTTTAAGTATTAAATTGACTTACCCTTTCAGGGTCAAAAAAATTTTTTTCTTTATATTGAAAAAACTCAAGTTTTCTGTAAAATTTGTTCATATTTAACCTAAACCCTAAATAGAATTAAATTTACCAATAAACATACAGGTTAAGGATGGGGTTTAGTGTTATATATGCTCATATAGGTAAATAAATATACATTAGGTTAATTTCAAGCTAGAGTGACATTAATTGGATCTTTTGCTGTTGGTGTACATAATGAAGAATAAGAATTTTAAAGAAGCCAAGGAAGATATTCTTTGTTGTCATACTTCTAGTTATATTGACCTTTAGAAATGATGAATACTCTAGGTTTTAGGATATTATGAAGATCTATATGTACTGAAGAATTATTGCTAATCACTAGAATTCTTAGGTAAGCCTAAGATATATACCAAAATTTTCTCTCAGATCCTTCTAAATTTCTCAATCAGCCAGCACTAATTGAGTACCTATGGTATACTTGGCAATATGTTAAGTAAAGAGGTACAGAGGGAATATATAGCTTTTAAGGAGTTTAACTATATTGGGTAGCCAAGATCTACTAGTAAAAAATTGTTAAAGAATATTGGGAGAATTTTTTAAAAGGCTCTTTGAAAGTAGGGAGTATGTTTTATGTTTCTGTCTCTGTTACTCCTTCTACCTAGTACAGTTATAGGCCCTCAGTAAAGATTTATTGAGATTTCTATCAAAGATACTGCTATTTATAATAGACTCAGTAAAAATTTGCCAGATGAGGAAATGTTCAAAAATGTGTGCTATGGTCCATCAGTGGTGAAAAACAAGTGCACTGAGAGCACAAGAACACATCTAGAAGTGAGATTTACATTTGGTATAAATTAGGACAGAAGGTGAGATCAGTGTTTGCAGAGGCCCAGAGATAGAAATAAACATGTCTTTGCTTAATGCTGTGAAGGCAGCAATCTGAATAAAACATAATATTGTTGAGAAATTAGGAGACAATGTTAAGTACATTGGCACCATACATGGGAGATCACGAAGAGTTCAAGCTTAGTCCATGTTAGGATTCTGTTGTAGATTGTTTTAAAAGGAGAAAAATAATTGTTTCTGGACAGTTGATCTAAGTACAGTATCAAGGATGGATTTCCAGAGAAAGAATTCAAAGTGGCTGGTTTTATCCTTTTTAGAGCCACTGAATAATATGGTTGAAGCTACAAACCTCCTCCTTTGAAATATGCCCATGTGCACATATATAAGCATTTTGTTTAAAGTTTCAGAGGGCTCATGGAACCTTCCCACCTTTTGAAGCTCATCCTTGAACCCATACTTAAAACCTTTGCTCCATAGGCAGACCAGTTAGAGTTGTTGTAATTAATTGAAGGGAATCTAACTTAGAAACAAAGTCAGGGAAGTTAGAATAAAAGATAACATTTCCTAAATACATTTTAAAGGAAGAATCTTGCTGACATGTTGAATGTGAAAAGCCCTCTAGGATTTTAATGTTGACCCAGGGAGAATGAATGATGATTTTACTTGGTAGTAGGGGGAGATTGGAAAGGATGAAAAAGAATTGCTGATTTTGCATGTCTACATTGACCCATAATTTGGGGTTCTCGCTCTATTTATTTTTTGCCATCTTCCAAAAAGCAAAGAAGTAGGTCTGGTGCAGGTGGCCTTTGTATATATTTTGTTTTATGAAATTATAGTTATAAAGCTAAGTCAAGCACTGGCAATAATGTATCTTTGCAGGTATGTTAAATTTGCTGTGAAGTTTGAAAATGATAGATTCTTTTTTCAGGTTTTAGGGCAATCTTGGCTGAACCTAAAAATAAAGCATCTGAATCCTCAGAACAAGACTATTATAATAACATGAGGCAGGAGACATTGGGACATGAACCTAGAGTAAATATGTTTCCATTCGGTGAGTAAGCTATTCTTTATTTTAATAGTATAAGCAGTATATGCAATCTGATTTGGATTTTATAAAATATTCTTTTATCACTAGTCTGTAAATCTGACTTAGTGAATAAAAATTAATGTAGTAGGGTTTTTTGAGAAGTTTGTCATGACTTCTCATGTCCTTAATATGTAACACTCATTTAACATATTTCCAATTGTAGTTTTCTGTGGTTAGTTATGTATCTAGATATTAAACTATGTCACGCCACTTTTTTGAGTGAGCTTCTGCCTCTGTGTAGCCAACCAGAAAGTATAAAAGACATCTACTTCTGTCCCCTCAGTATGAGTCCTAAGATTTTTATCCCTAAGATACTGCTGCTTTCAAACTAGGGCTAGAGAAAGGAGAGGAATGACAAAAGTAGAAGCCAGATGAAGGGGGAAATAATTGATGAAAGTAAGACATGTAAATGTTATTTGGCATAACTTTCTTTTAGATGAAACACTTGCCATATTTTGTAGTTTTGCATACTAAACCTATTCCTGTGAAGTTAGACTACACATTTCTACTTAACTTTCTGTGTTGAAGGCAGGGGAGTGGGAAGAATTCTGTTTCCTCACCATTGGTCCCTTCTGATAGTGCTAATGACCAGGAGCATATGACAAAACACGGTTCCTTGTCCAATGCAATGGACAAGTTCTAATGCAATGACAGTGCATCTTACTTTCTAGTACATAAATGTTAAATGAATTCTCAACTGTATAGAAATTTAAAGATATACTTTTTTTATGTTGTTGGAGAACAACAATCTGAATTTTCAAGTTTTGACAAGAATGACAACAGAGGCCAAGAAGCTATCTCCAAACGCCTGTCAGTTGTATCAAGAGTTCCTTTCACTGAAGAGCAGCTTTTCAGTATTTTTGATATAGTACCAGGATTGGAATACTGTGAAGTTCAACGAGATCCTTATTCTAATTATGGTAAAATAATGACTATTATTTTTAAATATACTGTGTTTTGATAAAATGTCTTTTCTCCAGTGGCACTTTTGATGTCAGTTACTCTGTGTGTGACAATTTTGTTTTCTTTTTTCCACTTTAAATTTTCAAATACAGCGATACCTTAATAAATAACCCCCTGGGATTATAGCTCCTTTAAACAAAGTCATTTATTTTTTAAAAATATTTTAGGGGCGCCTGGGTGGCTCAGTCAGTTAAGCGGCCGACTTCGGCTCAGGTCATGATCTCGTGGTCCGTGAGTTTGAACCCCGCGTCGGGCCCTGTGCTGACAGCTCAGAGCCTGGAGCCTGTTTCAGATTCTGTGTCTCCCTCTCTCTGATCCTCCCCTGTTCATGCTCTGTCTCTCTCTGTCTCAAAAATAAATAAACATTAAAAAAATAAAAATATATATATATTTTAACGCTCATAAAATAGAGCATTCTCTGTTTCCATTTGTGCAGCCAAAATGGAGTCTCTGTACTGCTGATTAATGCTAGACAAAGTTATAAAACCCTTAAAGTTTCCTTCTCATCCCTAAATCTTTTTCTTAAGCTTATACCTCAAAAAAACTCCTTCCCTTCATTTCAAGTATCTAATTGCTCTCTTTCTCTCTCTACATCTTCCCAGTCTTAATTGAAGCAAGGCTCTACTATCAGGCATTTGAACTTGTTACTTAATCGGTTAAACCTAATATCTCATGTTAACCATCTTTGTAATTTTTTAAGTTTTTTTTGTTTTGTTTTTTTTTGTTTTTTGTTTTTTAAGGCTTTTAAGAAATGGAGTCATTGTGGCACAATGGAAAATGGTTGGCATTCCATTTCGCATCTGACTCAGGTGCAAATGAAATCCCAGTGCTGGCACGTAGCTCTGAGACCTTGGCAAATTGCTTATCCTGTCTGGGCCTTTCTTTCTTTATATGTAAAAGGGGATTATTAATACTATCAGTACCAGGGTTAGATAAGAATTAGAAATACTATATGTAAAATACCTAATGCAAGTCCTGGCACATAATAGGCACTCAGTAAGTCTAAGGGGCTTGTCAGTTTCTTTTAAAGAATTTGAGGTAAGGGGAGTATAGAGAAGTCATACTTGGCATCTGTTCCTGGCGTATAGATACACTTGATGTAGTGCTTTTAGGGTGCCATGGGTGTGAGCATAAGTGGGAAGGTGTTAGGTCATATAGGCTAACGGGCCTGGAGCAGAGTAGTGCCACTCTTCACACATGCTCACTATTACTCTTCCCAGCCCTGGTCTGTTAGCAGGACTGCATCTGAACCTACTTCAGACCATCTTCAACCTCTTCTTTATTCTATTTTGTGTGCACACATTTTGTGTTTTCTGGCACATTTGTTGTTATATGTAATTTTATTTGTTCTGTATTTCTGTCCCTTTTATCTGTTATGTTGAAATGTATTTGTTCCTTCACCTTCTATATTGTTTCTCTGGTTGAATGTGTCTGGTAAATAAATACATGTGTCATTGGAACACTTTTTTATTGATAGAGGAATCGTCATATAAAGTTCTATCTGAATTGGTTTTATATATTCATTTGCTTTCTGAGTTTTAATTTCATTAAAATGTTGGGATGCTTGGGTTTAGACAGGACCCTTAAATTATAGCAGTGTTTCCCCCTAAGTGGGTTGTATTGTAAATATATTATGGAAACTTTTTTGGTTGTGTTATAAGCTCCTGGGCTTTCCATGTAAGGACTCCAGTATAAAATTATCCACCCCCACCCCCACCTTCAGCATCATCTTCCTGAATTAAAATCTGTTTCCATAGCTGAAAGCTCTCAAAAAGAGTGTGTAATCTGTGACTTCTAATCTAAGATCCTCTGTTCCCTACCTTTTGTTTTTCATACATACCACTTTTTCTTTCTCTACCACTGTAGCTAGCCAGATGACTGTATGTTCTTATCAGATTATATATATTCCCCTCGTTTCATTTCCTGCTCAGTGTGATAGGGAAAATTTTAGAATTTCAAAGTATATTTCAAAGAATA